CAGACCAGGATCCATTGGCCTTCTTGGCCACCTGGGCACACTCTGGCTCCTGTCCTGTCCATCAGAACCCCCAGTCCCTTCCTGCCTGGCTGCTCTCCAGCCACTCTGTCCCCAGCCTGTAGAACTGCAGGGGGTTGTGGCCAAACTTGGCCTGGTTGAACGTCATCCTGTTGGAATCAGCCCAACTCTCCAGTCTGTCCAGGTCCCTCAGCAGAGCCCTCCTGCCTTCCAGCAGATCAACGCTCCCCTCCAACTTGGTGTCATCTGCAAAATCATCCAGATCATCAATTAAGATATTAAATAGAACTGGGCCCAGCACTGATCCCTGGGGACACCACTGGTGACGGATCCCAGCTGGATGCAGCTCCATCCCCACCACTCTCTGGGCCCAGCCAAGAGCCAGTCCCTAACCCAGCACAGAGTGCCCCTCTCCAAGCCGTGGCTGCAGCTTTTCCAGGAGTGTACCATGGGAGACAGTGTCCAAGGCTTTGCTGAAGTCCAGGCAGACACATCCACAGCCTTCCCCTCATCCACCAGGAGATCAGACTGACCAGGCAGGACCTGCCCCTTCTAAATCCATGCTGGCTGGGGCTGATCCCCTGTTGGTCCTGTGGATGCCCCGTGATTGCACTCAGGATGATCTGCTCCATAACCTTGCCAGGCACTGAGGTCAGGTTTCCTGCCTGCTTTGGGGCAGCTCTGCAGGGGCCGCTCATGTCAGACCCCCCTGTGTGCTGGGGACAGCTTTGCTCTTGGGGACACCGCTCTGCCCCAGCCCAGCAACACCAGCAGTGCCCAGGGCCGCCACCTTCCCAAGGGGGACCCCTCTGGGCACAGGTACCCCCAGCCCGGGGGGGCCGTGCCAGCACCCCCAGACAACGCAGTTACACACGGACAATAAAACAACAACGCAGTAAACATCTATAAAGAATATATTTTCATTATAAGAATCTTCATAAAAACAAAAATCTTCTTAGTAAAAACAAAAAACTTCTTAATTAAAACAAAAATCTTCTCTATAAAAACAACAATCTTCTATATAGAAATAACAATCTTCCTAATAAAAATAAGTATCTTCTTTAAAAAAGCAACTATCTTCTTATAAAAAAAACTATCTTCTTACTAGAAACAACAAGCTACTTCCTAAAAAACTCTTCTTAGTAAAGAAAATAACCTTCTAATATAAAAAACACTCTTAGTAAGAACAAGAATCTTCTACTAATAATATCTTCTTAAAAAAATATTTAGAAAAACAAAAATCTTCATAAGAAAAACAACAATCTCTATATAAAAAACCCTATATTCCTAATAAAGCCTATTAACTATAAAATATATTTACAAAACAATCATGAAGATATCAAACATATGTACAAAGTGCCATTCCATGGCCAGCATGTCCGTCAGTCCTGCAAGAAAAGCCAGGGCACGGTCAGTGCAGTCGGGCCCTGCTGGCCGTTCCCTGTGCCCCCAGCCTGGCCCACGCTGGGCCCAGCGGGACTCTGGCGCCAGGCCTGAGCCGGGCTGGGGATGGGAGCCGGGCCCCAGGCGCTGGCACGGGGCTTGTGTGGCCCAAAGCAGGCGCAGGGCAGGCCGGGGCTGGGGGTTGTGCCGCCACAATCCAGGGCAGGGGGCACCGTGTCCCTGAGCGGGGCCCCCCAGCCCAGCCCCAGCCTGGCGGCAGGTGACCCGCTGTCCCCGGGGCAGGGCACGGCCAGGACGGGCCTCACCTGCTGCTGAGGCGGGGTGTCCTTATCCCAGGATCATGGCCTCCTCCTTCTCGCCTTCCTCTTCCACGTCCATCCCTTCTTCCTCTTGCGTGTCCACCTCCATCTCCTCTACATCGCCTTTTAGATCTCTCGCCGTGTCCACTTCCGTTGGCTCTTCGCTGTCTCTCTCAGCCTGCAGCAGGGAGAACAACCGCACAGAGGGGGCCTGTCCCACCCCAGCCCCACTGAGCTCCAGCCCACCTGGCCAGTCAGTTGGTGCCCTCCTCCATGGACTGGCACTGGACATTCACTAGGACAAGGCTGCACATCCTGCTGGCATGGATCACAACACCCAGACTGCAGGCAGAGTCAGCACTGACGGATGTTCAAGGGAGCAGGTGGGGACAGTCCAGAGGGAGCAGGGGGAAGGGTACTCTTGGAACCAAAGGTGGTCGGGCCAGAGGGTGCGCTGGGAGCTGCGCAGGGCTGGCTGGCAGCAGGGGAATGGCTGCGTTGTGCTCGTCGCCGGGCCCTGGCAGTTCCACATGGAACACGGGCACAGCTCTGGCAGCTGCGAGGTCACAGGAGGTCCAGGGCCACTCCGCACTGGGGATGGGGATCATGGAATGATGGAATCCTTGAGTGCTTTGGCTTGGGACAGACCCTACAAATCATCTTGTTCCAACCTGACCAAGTTGCTCAGGGCCACGGCCAAGTGGACCTTGAATGTTGCCAGGGATGGGGCAGCCACAGCCTCTCTGCACAGCCCCTGCCAGGGCCTCACCAGCCTCACAGGAAACAATGTTTTCCTAACATCAAATCTAACCCTCCCCTGTCAGTTTGAAGCCCTTGTCCTGTCACTACAGTTGCTGACCAAGAGTCACCCTCTGGCTTCCTTGGAGGCCCCTTCCCAGACGGGAAGGTTTCTCCCAGGTCTCCACACAACCTTCTCTTGTCCAGGCTGAAGAGCCCCAACTTTGCCAGCCTGTGTGCAGAGGGGAGGTGCTCGAGGTCCCTGAGCCCCTTGTTGGCCTGGTGTGGCCTTGCTGCAGCAGTTCCCTGGCCTTGTTGTGTCGGGGACCCCAGAGCTGGAGGCCGCACTGCAGGTGGGGTCTCCTGAGAGCGCAGCAGAGCGGCACAACCCCCCCTGCCCTGCTGCCCCCAGGGCTGGGGATGAGCCCAGGACATGGGGGGGGGGGGGGTCTGGCCTGAGAGGGCACATTCTAAGGGCCCATGGAACAACAATAATCTTTCAAACGGATTTACAATAAAACGACAACCTATAAGACATGTGTCCAGCATTTATTGATATTTTCAGAATTTTCTTAATAAAACCAGTACTCTTCTTTATAGAAACGACAGTCTTCTTGATGACAACAGTCTTAATATCAACAAACATCTTCTTATTAAAAACAATTGTCTTCTGAATAAAAATATCTTCTGAATAAAAACAACTATCTTCTAAATAAAACAACTATCTTCTTCGAACAAAACTATCTTCTTATAAAGGAAACTTATCTTCTTAAAAAAACTATTTTCTTAATAAAAAACTTATCTTCTTAATTAAAAATCTATCTGCCTAAATTATTTTCTTTATAAAACCAACAAACTTCTTAAAAATTCAATAATATAAAATGTATTTACAGAACAACATGTAAAACATATGTACAAGTGGCCGATTCCGTGGCCGGCACGTCCGTCAGTCCTGCAAGAAAAGCCAGGGCACGGTCAGTGCAGTCGGGCCCTGCTGGCCGTTCCCTGTGCCCCCAGCCTGGCCCACGCTGGGCCCAGCGGGACTCTGGCGCCAGGCCTGAGCCCGGCTGGGGATGGGAGCCGGGCCCCAGGCGCTGGCACGGGGCTTGTGTGGCCCAAAGCAGGCGCAGGGCAGGCCGGGGCTGGGGGTTGTGCCGCCACAATCCAGGGCACGGGGCACCGTGTCCCTGAGCGGGGCCCCCCAGCCCAGCCCCAGCCTGGCGGCAGGTGACCCGCTGTCCCCGGGGCAGGGCACGGCCAGGACGGGCCTCACCTGCTGCTGAGGCGGGGTGTCCTTATCCCAGGATCATGGCCTCCTCCTTCTCGCCTTCCTCTTCCACGTCCATCTCTTCTTCCTCTTGCGTGTCCACCTCCATCTCCTCTACATCGCCTTTTAGATCTCTCGCCGTGTCCACTTCCGTTGGCTCTTCGCTGTCTCTCTCAGCCTGCAGCAGGGAGAACAACCTCACAGAGGGGGCCTGTCCCACCCCAGCCCCACTGAGCTCCAGCCCACCTGGCCAGTCAGTTGGTGCCCTCCTCCATGGACTGGCACTGGACATTCACTGGGACAAGGCTGCACATCCTGCTGGCATGGATCACAACACCCAGACTGCAGGCAGAGTCAGCACTGACGGATGTTCAAGGGAGCAGGTGGGGACAGTCCAGAGGGAGCAGGGGGAAGGGTACTCTTGGAACCAAAGGTGGTCGGGCCAGAGGGTGCGCTGGGAGCTGCTCAGGGCTGGCTGGCAGCAGGGGAATGGCTGCGTTGTGCTCGTCGCCGGGCCCTGGCAGTTCCACATGGAACACGGGCACAGCTCTGGCAGCTGCGATGTCACAGGAGGTCCAGGGCCACTCCGCACTGGGGATGGGGATCATGGAATGATGGAATCCTTGAGTGCTTTGGCTTGGGACAGACCCTACAAATCATCTTGTTCCAACCTGACCAAGTTGCTCAGGGCCACGGCCAAGTGGACCTTGAATGTTGCCAGGGATGGGGCAGCCACAGCCTCTCTGCACAGCCCCTGCCAGGGCCTCACCAGCCTCACAGGAAACAATGTTTTCCTAACATCAAATCTAACCCTCCCCTGTGTCAGTTTGAAGCCCTTGTCCTGTCACTACAGTTGCTGACCAAGAGTCACCCTCTGGCTTCCTTGGAGGCCCCTTCCCAGACGGGAAGGTTTCTCCCAGGTCTCCACACAACCTTCTCTTGTCCAGGCTGAAGAGCCCCAACTTTGCCAGCCTGTGTGCAGAGGGGAGGTGCTCGAGGTCCCTGAGCCCCTTGTTGGCCTGGTGTGGCCTTGCTGCAGCAGTTCCCTGGCCTTGTTGTGTCGGGGACCCCAGAGCTGGAGGCCGCACTGCAGGTGGGGTCTCCTGAGAGCGCAGCAGAGCGGCACAACCCCCCCTGCCCTGCTGCCCCCAGGGCTGGGGATGAGCCCAGGACATGGGGGGGGGGGGGGTCTGGCCTGAGAGGGCACATTCTAAGGGCCCATGGAACAACAATAATCTTTCAAACGGATTTACAATAAAACGACAACCTATAAGACATGTGTCCAGAATTTATTGATATTTTCAGAATTTTCTTAATAAAACCAGTACTCTTCTTTATAGAAACGACAGTCTTCTTGATGACAACAGTCTTAATATCAACAAACATCTTCTTATAAAAAACAATTGTCTTCTGAATAAAAATATCTTCTGAATAAAAACAACTATCTTCTAAATAAAACAACTATCTTCTTCGAACAAAACTATCTTCTTATAAAGGAAACTTATCTTCTTAAAAAAACTATTTTCTTAATAAAAAACTTATCTTCTTAATTAAAAATCTATCTTCCTAAATTATTTTCTTTATAAAACCAACAAACTTCTTAAAAATTCAATAATATAAAATGTATTTACAGAACAACATGTAAAACATATGTACAAGTGGCCGATTCCGTGGCCGGCACGTCCGTCAGTCCTGCAAGAAAAGCCAGGGCACGGTCAGTGCAGTCGGGCCCTGCTGGCCGTTCCCTGTGCCCCCAGCCTGGCCCACGCTGGGCCCAGCGGGACTCTGGCGCCAGGCCTGAGCCCGGCTGGGGATGGGAGCCGGGCCCCAGGCGCTGGCACGGGGCTTGTGTGGCCCAAAGCAGGCGCAGGGCAGGCCGGGGCTGGGGGTTGTGCCGCCACAATCCAGGGCACGGGGCACCGTGTCCCTGAGCGGGGCCCCCCAGCCCAGCCCCAGCCTGGCGGCAGGTGACCCGCTGTCCCCGGGGCAGGGCACGGCCAGGACGGGCCTCACCTGCTGCTGAGGCGGGGTGTCCTTATCCCAGGATCATGTCTTCCACCTCATCTTCCTGATCTACTTCCATCTCTTCCACATCAGCTTCCATCTCCACCTCCATCTCTTCAACTCTCTCTTCAACATCCACATCCATCATCTCATCCATATCTGCCTGAGGGTCCACCTCCATCTCTTCTTCGCTGTCTCTCGGAGCCTGCAGCAGGGAGAACAACCTCACAGAGGGGGCCTGTCCCACCCCAGCCCCACTGAGCTCCAGCCCTCCTGGCCAGTCAGTTGGTGCCCTCCTCCATGGACTGGCACTGGACATTCACTGGGACAAGGCTGCACATCCTGCTGGCATGGATCACAACACCCAGACTGCAGGCAGAGTCAGCACTGACGGATGTTCAAGGGAGCAGGTGGGGACAGTCCAGAGGGAGCAGGGGGAAGGGTACTCTTGGAACCAAAGGTGGTCGGGCCAGAGGGTGCGCTGGGAGCTGCTCAGGGCTGGCTGGCAGCAGGGGAATGGCTGCGTTGTGCTCGTCGCCGGGCCCTGGCAGTTCCACATGGAACACGGGCACAGCTCTGGCAGCTGCGATGTCACAGGAGGTCCAGGGCCACTCCGCACTGGGGATGGGGATCATGGAATGATGGAATCCTTGAGTGCTTTGGCTTGGGACAGACCCTACAAATCATCTTGTTCCAACCTGACCAAGTTGCTCAGGGCCACGGCCAAGTGGACCTTGAATGTTGCCAGGGATGGGGCAGCCACAGCCTCTCTGCACAGCCCCTGCCAGGGCCTCACCAGCCTCACAGGAAACAATGTTTTCCTAACATCAAATCTAACCCTCCCCTGTGTCAGTTTGAAGCCCTTGTCCTGTCACTACAGTTGCTGACCAAGAGTCACCCTCTGGCTTCCTTGGAGGCCCCTTCCCAGACGGGAAGGTTTCTCCCAGGTCTCCACACAACCTTCTCTTGTCCAGGCTGAAGAGCCCCAACTTTGCCAGCCTGTGTGCAGAGGGGAGGTGCTCGAGGTCCCTGAGCCCCTTGTTGGCCTGGTGTGGCCTTGCTGCAGCAGTTCCCTGGCCTTGTTGTGTCGGGGACCCCAGAGCTGGAGGCCGCACTGCAGGTGGGGTCTCCTGAGAGCGCAGCAGAGCGGCACAACCCCCCCTGCCCTGCTGCCCCCAGGGCTGGGGATGAGCCCAGGACATGGGGGGGGGGGGGGTCTGGCCTGAGAGGGCACATTCTAAGGGCCCATGGAACAACAATAATCTTTCAAACGGATTTACAATAAAACGACAACCTATAAGACATGTGTCCAGAATTTATTGATATTTTCAGAATTTTCTTAATAAAACCAGTACTCTTCTTTATAGAAACGACAGTCTTCTTGATGACAACAGTCTTAATATCAACAAACATCTTCTTATTAAAAACAATTGTCTTCTGAATAAAAATATCTTCTGAATAAAAACAACTATCTTCTAAATAAAACAACTATCTTCTTCGAACAAAACTATCTTCTTATAAAGGAAACTTATCTTCTTAAAAAAACTATTTTCTTAATAAAAAACTTATCTTCTTAATTAAAAATCTATCTGCCTAAATTATTTTCTTTATAAAACCAACAAACTTCTTAAAAATTCAATAATATAAAATGTATTTACAGAACAACATGTAAAACATATGTACAAGTGGCCGATTCCGTGGCCGGCACGTCCGTCAGTCCTGCAAGAAAAACCAGGGCACGGTCAGTGCAGTCGGGCCCTGCTGGCCGTTCCCTGTGCCCCCAGCCTGGCCCACGCTGGGCCCAGCGGGACTCTGGCGCCAGGCCTGAGCCCGGCTGGGGATGGGAGCCGGGCCCCAGGCGCTGGCACGGGGCTTGTGTGGCCCAAAGCAGGCGCAGGGCAGGCCGGGGCTGGGGGTTGTGCCGCCACAATCCAGGGCACGGGGCACCGTGTCCCTGAGCGGGGCCCCCCAGCCCAGCCCCAGCCTGGCGGCAGGTGACCCGCTGTCCCCGGGGCAGGGCACGGCCAGGACGGGCCTCACCTGCTGCTGAGGCGGGGTGTCCTTATCCCAGGATCATGGCCTCCTCCTTCTCGCCTTCCTCTTCCACGTCCATCTCTTCTTCCTCTTGCGTGTCCACCTCCATCTCCTCTACATCGCCTTTTAGATCTCTCGCCGTGTCCACTTCCGTTGGCTCTTCGCTGTCTCTCTCAGCCTGCAGCAGGGAGAACAACCTCACAGAGGGGGCCTGTCCCACCCCAGCCCCACTGAGCTCCAGCCCACCTGGCCAGTCAGTTGGTGCCCTCCTCCATGGACTGGCACTGGACATTCACTGGGACAAGGCTGCACATCCTGCTGGCATGGATCACAACACCCAGACTGCAGGCAGAGTCAGCACTGACGGATGTTCAAGGGAGCAGGTGGGGACAGTCCAGAGGGAGCAGGGGGAAGGGTACTCTTGGAACCAAAGGTGGTCGGGCCAGAGGGTGCGCTGGGAGCTGCTCAGGGCTGGCTGGCAGCAGGGGAATGGCTGCGTTGTGCTCGTCGCCGGGCCCTGGCAGTTCCACATGGAACACGGGCACAGCTCTGGCAGCTGCGATGTCACAGGAGGTCCAGGGCCACTCCGCAGGGATGGGGATCATGGAATGATGGAATCCTTGAGTGCTTTGGCTTGGGACAGACCCTACAAATCATCTTGTTCCAACCTGACCAAGTTGCTCAGGGCCACGGCCAAGTGGACCTTGAATGTTGCCAGGGATGGGGCAGCCACAGCCTCTCTGCACAGCCCCTGCCAGGGCCTCACCAGCCTCACAGGAAACAATGTTTTCCTAACATCAAATCTAACCCTCCCCTGTGTCAGTTTGAAGCCCTTGTCCTGTCACTACAGTTGCTGACCAAGAGTCACCCTCTGGCTTCCTTGGAGGCCCCTTCCCAGACGGGAAGGTTTCTCCCAGGTCTCCACACAACCTTCTCTTGTCCAGGCTGAAGAGCCCCAACTTTGCCAGCCTGTGTGCAGAGGGGAGGTGCTCGAGGTCCCTGAGCCCCTTGTTGGCCTGGTGTGGCCTTGCTGCAGCAGTTCCCTGGCCTTGTTGTGTCGGGGACCCCAGAGCTGGAGGCCGCACTGCAGGTGGGGTCTCCTGAGAGCGCAGCAGAGCGGCACAACCCCCCCTGCCCTGCTGCCCCCAGGGCTGGGGATGAGCCCAGGACATGGGGGGGAGGGGGGGTCTGGCCTGAGAGGGCACATTCTAAGGGCCCATGGAACAACAATAATCTTTCAAACGGATTTACAATAAAACGACAACCTATAAGACATGTGTCCAGAATTTATTGATATTTTCAGAATTTTCTTAATAAAACCAGTACTCTTCTTTATAGAAACGACAGTCTTCTTGATGACAACAGTCTTAATATCAACAAACATCTTCTTCTTAAAAACAATTGTCTTCTTAATAAAAATATCTTCTGAATAAAAACAACTATCTTCTAAATAAAACAACTATCTTCTTCGAACAAAACTATCTTCTTATAAAGGAAACTTATCTTCTTAAAAAAACTATTTTCTTAATAAAAAACTTATCTTCTTAATTAAAAATCTATCTTCCTAAATTATTTTCTTTATAAAAACAACAAACTTCTTAAAAATTCAATAATATAAAATGTATTTACAGAACAACATGTAAAACATATGTACAAGTGGCCGATTCCGTGGCCGGCACGTCCGTCAGTCCTGCAAGAAAAGCCAGGGCACGGTCAGTGCAGTCGGGCCCTGCTGGCCGTTCCCTGTGCCCCCAGCCTGGCCCACGCTGGGCCCAGCGGGACTCTGGCGCCAGGCCTGAGCCCGGCTGGGGATGGGAGCCGGGCCCCAGGCGCTGGCACGGGGCTTGTGTGGCCCAAAGCAGGCGCAGGGCAGGCCGGGGCTGGGGGTTGTGCCGCCACAATCCAGGGCACGGGGCACCGTGTCCCTGAGCGGGGCCCCCCAGCCCAGCCCCAGCCTGGCGGCAGGTGACCCGCTGTCCCCGGGGCAGGGCACGGCCAGGACGGGCCTCACCTGCTGCTGAGGCGGGGTGTCCTTATCCCAGGATCATGGCCTCCTCCTTCTCGCCTTCCTCTTCCACGTCCATCTCTTCTTCCTCTTGCGTGTCCACCTCCATCTCCTCTACATCGCCTTTTAGATCTCTCGCCGTGTCCACTTCCGTTGGCTCTTCGCTGTCTCTCTCAGCCTGCAGCAGGGAGAACAACCTCACAGAGGGGGCCTGTCCCACCCCAGCCCCACTGAGCTCCAGCCCACCTGGCCAGTCAGTTGGTGCCCTCCTCCATGGACTGGCACTGGACATTCACTGGGACAAGGCTGCACATCCTGCTGGCATGGATCACAACACCCAGACTGCAGGCAGAGTCAGCACTGACGGATGTTCAAGGGAGCAGGTGGGGACAGTCCAGAGGGAGCAGGGGGAAGGGTACTCTTGGAACCAAAGGTGGTCGGGCCAGAGGGTGCGCTGGGAGCTGCTCAGGGCTGGCTGGCAGCAGGGGAATGGCTGCGTTGTGCTCGTCGCCGGGCCCTGGCAGTTCCACATGGAACACGGGCACAGCTCTGGCAGCTGCGATGTCACAGGAGGTCCAGGGCCACTCCGCACTGGGGATGGGGATCATGGAATGATGGAATCCTTGAGTGCTTTGGCTTGGGACAGACCCTACAAATCATCTTGTTCCAACCTGACCAAGTTGCTCAGGGCCACGGCCAAGTGGACCTTGAATGTTGCCAGGGATGGGGCAGCCACAGCCTCTCTGCACAGCCCCTGCCAGGGCCTCACCAGCCTCACAGGAAACAATGTTTTCCTAACATCAAATCTAACCCTCCCCTGTGTCAGTTTGAAGCCCTTGTCCTGTCACTACAGTTGCTGACCAAGAGTCACCCTCTGGCTTCCTTGGAGGCCCCTTCCCAGACGGGAAGGTTTCTCCCAGGTCTCCACACAACCTTCTCTCGTCCAGGCTGAAGAGCCCCAACTTTGCCAGCCTGTGTGCAGAGGGGAGGTGCTCGAGGTCCCTGAGCCCCTTGGTGGCCTGGTGTGGCCTTGCTGCAGCAGTTCCCTGGCCTTGTTGTGTGGAGGCCGCACTGCAGGTGGGGTCTCCTGAGAGCGCAGCAGAGCGGCACAACCCCCCCTGCCCTGCTGCCCCCAGGGCTGGGGATGAGCCCAGGACATGGGGGGGGGGGGGGGTCTGGCCTGAGAGGGCACATTCTAAGGGCCCATGGAACAACAATAATCTTTCAAACGGATTTACAATAAAACGACAACCTATAAGACATGTGTCCAGAATTTATTGATATTTTCAGAATTTTCTTAATAAAACCAGTACTCTTCTTTATAGAAACGACAGTCTTCTTGATGACAACAGTCTTAATATCAACAAACATCTTCTTATAAAAAACAATTGTCTTCTGAATAAAAATATCTTCTGAATAAAAACAACTATCTTCGAAATAAAACAACTATCTTCTTCGAACAAAACTATCTTCTTATAAAGGAAACTTATCTTCTTAAAAAAACTATTTTCTTAATAAAAAACTTATCTTCTTAATTAAAAATCTATCTGCCTAAATTATTTTCTTTATAAAACCAACAAACCTCTTAAAAATTCAATAATATAAAATGTATTTACAGAACAACATGTAAAACATATGTACAAGTGGCCGATTCCGTGGCCGGCACGTCCGTCAGTCCTGCAAGAAAAGCCAGGGCACGGTCAGTGCAGTCGGGCCCTGCTGGCCGTTCCCTGTGCCCCGCTGGCCGTTCCCTGTGCCCCCAGCCTGGCCCACGCTGGGCCCAGCGGGACTCTGGCGCCAGGCCTGAGCCCAGCTGGGGATGGGAGCCGGGCCCCAGGCGCTGGCACGGGGCTTGTGTGGCCCAAAGCAGGCACAGGGCAGGCCGGGGCTGGGGGTTGTGCCGCCACAATCCAGGGCACGGGGCACCGTGTCCCTGAGCGGGGCCCCCCAGCCCAGCCCCAGCCTGGCGGCAGGTGATCCGCTGTCCCCGGGGCAGGGCACGGCCAGGACGGGCCTCACCTGCTGCTGAGGCGGGGTGTCCTTATCCCAGGATCATGTCCTCCTCCTTCTCGCCTTCCTCTTCCACGTCCATCTCTTCTTCCTCTTGCGTCTCCACCTCCATCTCCTCTACATCGCCTTTTAGATCTCTCGCCGTGTCCACTTCCATTGGCTCTTCGCTGTCTCTCTCAGCCTGCAGCAGGGAGAACAACCTCACAGAGGGGGCCTGTCCCACCCCAGCCCCACTGAGCTCCAGCCCACCTGGCCAGTCAGTTGGTGCCCTCCTCCATGGACTGGCACTGGACATTCACTGGGACAAGGCTGCACATTCTGCTGGCATGGATCACAACACCCAGACTGCAGGCAGAGTCAGCACTGACGGATGTTCAAGGGAGCAGGTGGGGACAGTCCAGAGGGAGCAGGGGGAAGGGTAGTCTTGGAACCAAAGGTGGTCGGGCCAGAGGGTGCGCTGGGAGCTGCTCAGGGCTGGCTGGCAGCAGGGGAATGGCTGCGTTGTGCTCGTCGCCGGGCCCTGGCAGTTCCACATGGAACACGGGCACAGCTCTGGCAGCTGCGATGTCACAGGAGGTCCAGGGCCACTCCGCACTGGGGGTGGGGATCATGGAATGATGGAATCCTTGAGTGCTTTGGCTTGGGACAGACCCTACAAATCATCTTGTTCCAACCTGACCAAGTTGCTCAGGGCCACGGCCAAGTGGACCTTGAATGTTGCCAGGGATGGGGCAGCCACAGCCTCTCTGCACAGCCCCTGTCAGGGCCTCACCAGCCTCACAGGAAACAATGTTTTCCTAACATCAAATCTAACCCTCCCCTGTGTCAGTTTGAAGCCCTTGTCCTGTCACTACAGTTGCTGACCAAGAGTCACCCTCTGGCTTCCTTGGAGGCCCCTTCCCAGACGGGAAGGTTTCTCCCAGGTCTCCACACAACCTTCTCTTGTCCAGGCTGAAGAGCCCCAACTTTGCCAGCCTGTGTGCAGAGGGGAGGTGCTCGAGGTCCCTGAGCCCCTTGTTGGCCTGGTGTGGCCTTGCTGCAGCAGTTCCCTGGCCTTGTTGTGTCGGGGACCCCAGAGCTGGAGGCCGCACTGCAGGGGGGGTCTCCTGAGAGCGCAGCAGAGCGGCACAACCCCCCCTGCCCTGCTGCCCCCAGGGCTGGGGATGAGCCCAGGACACGGGTGGGGGGGGGGTCTGGCCTGAGAGGGCACATTCTAAGGGCCCATGGAACAACAATAATCGGATTTTACAAGAAAACACAACCTATAAGACAATGTGTCCGAGAAATATAATTGAGTATTTTCAGAATTTTCTTAATAAAACAAAGTACGTCTTCTGTATAGAAACGACAGTCTGCTTGATGACAACAGTCTTAAGATCAACAACATCTTCCTTATAAAAACAATTGGTCTCTGAATAAAAAGATCCCTGCGGAATAAAAAACAACTATCTTCTAAATAAAACAACTATCTTCTCTTCTTCAACAAAACTATCTTCTTCTAAGAAACTTATCTTCTTAAAAAA